AACTTATTAGACATGGGCAAGGGCTTCCGAGCGACTGAAGGGCTTCTTGGTCAGGATCTCAGCGAATTAATCATGGCACCATGTAGAAAGAGGGTGAGTTTGAACTGCCTCAACTGAAAGCATGAAGCCACTGACATTTACCCAGAACCTACCTGTGCACATGGATTCCATTGTCAATGACTCTTCTGCGACATTGCTTTCGCGTGCCTACGAAGACCCATCAACACGCTTTGCCGTGATTCTTGGAACTGGATTTAACATATCTGTGCACCTACCTGTATCGTCACTTGCGATCACCAAGTACAAGGGTTATCCACAGGAGTGGATGGATGAAGCTACCCATGTGCTCGTCAACACAGAATGCAGCATGTTCGGAAAGGGCGTGTTCCCTACGACTAGATGGGATGAACAACTCAACGATGCACATGTACGACCAGACTTCCAGCCTTTCGAACACATGATTAGCGGTCGCTACATGGGTGAGATAGTAAGGTTGATTGTTGTCGAAGCTGTACGCACAGCTGGTCTATTCAGCGGTGAAATGCCCGCCCACTTGACTGAGCCTTACAGTCTGGACACTGGAACCATTGCAGTCATGGAGATGGACGACTCAAAGTACCTTGGCCAAGCTATCGCCATCTTCCAGTCTCTGCATCCGCTCAGCAAGCCACCTACCGTAAAGGACATTCAGTTTGTTCGCCGAGTAGCGCAACTCGTTTCGCATCGCGCTGCAGCTTTCCTCGCAACTGGTATCCATGCATTGTGGGTGCTTCGAACGGAGTCCGAAGGCCTGACGCCCGCATCCGCTGGCCGGATGAGCATTGGCTGCAACGGCTCGGTCATTGAAAAGTACCCACTGTTCAGGGAGCTCTGCCAATCACATCTTCATGACCTGACTACTGCATCTGGTGCCGAGCCAAAGTCAATCTCACTGGAGATTGCTGTTGAATCAGCCATTTTCGGAGCAGCAGTATCTGCCTGTTGTCTCGAGGGACAAGCATAGTTCTTTTTCCTCCATTTATCTCCACCTTTTTTCTCTTCTTTGAAAGCGGTGGTTGTATATACACATGAGCGTTTTGTTGTTCTATTTCAGCATCTAGAGTCCTTCAAGGGACTAGATATGAGATATCTGAAGAGGCATATGGGAGCTTGGATTTTCTGTTCTTCGGGTACATAAGTTCCCTGCGGCGTTGTTCATCATCATCATCATCATCATCACATCACTAGGGGGAGGGGGCGGTAAACCATATGGGTATGAGCATTTTTTTTCATGACCTAATGAAACATTCGATAATCAAACTTGCCAAATTTCTGAACAAAAGTCAATTTTTTTTCTCCCCTACACCGAGTTACAACCCCATCATCACCTGTATCAAGCCAAGCATCACGAACAGTTACACTGTAACGTCACAACTACCACCTCCTAGACGACCCGCTTTTGCCCCCCCCCCCTTCTTCCAACCACGCTTCCTTCCAATCTTCCCACGCCTTACCTTATTTTCCCCAATCTAATCCAAATCCAGACCTTACCTTCCGGTGCCCCCATCGCGCCACGTGGGTCCCCCCCCGTCCACCATGTCAGAAAAACGACACACACTCACAGCGAGAGCCATCGAGTCTAGACTTGAACTACTAACGCCCAAACTATCTCAAACTAAAACCCGTCTTTAGCGTATGTTGTGTACCGAGGTCCTCCCATCATCGTATTCGTAACCCGCATATACCCCGTTCGTTAATCAAACTAAGCAGTCCCTTTTTTTGGCCGCTCGTGACGTCGAAAAGAGAGTAAGAGAGTAAGAGAGAGAGAGAGAGAGGGCCCAGACGGGCGGGCGAGCGAGCAGGGGGTAGTAGTAGTAGTAGTAGTAGTAATGTAAAGTAAGATTTTAAAAAATGTGGAGACAAAGGTTTATCTTATCAAGGAATTTGGTTATCTTTTTTTTTCCTTCCTTTCCCTTCCTGGTCTTCTTCTCCCAAACGGTTTGCAACTAGTTCAGAGAAGAGAGAGAAAAAAAGAGGAATTCTGATAGTATGTGCGTATGGAGAGAGAGAGAGTTTAGACGCGGAACTTTTTTTTTCCCGAGGTCCCCTCACCCCCCCCCCCAGCACTGGCACAAAAGAAAGAGTGGAGAGTCTTTTTTTTGAGAGAGAGAGAGAGACTTTTGCCCCACAAATCGGGGGTTTGGGCAGGGCCTGGGGGAACATGGGATGAGATGGGTTGAGGTGTTACAGTTGCATTGCATGGTTGACGCCAGCATGGTATCGGTCGGGCTTGGGGCGCACGCGGTCGGAGTGCCACATGGTATTTACGCTACATGGGCTACATTGCTTGGGTCACTCTCTTTTTTTTAACCGAGGAGAGAGAGAGGAGAAAATGGTCGGCGATGTAGGTTAAGGTTGTTGTTGGGTTACAAAGTTTGACCGTAGTGGGGGAGGGGTTGGAGTCGAGATTGCTGAGGTAGCAATGGGCGGATATTATCTGGGCTTGTGTTGCTTGGAAACTATGGAAGTGTGAAATTGTCCAGGGTTGTAACGCTATATACTCACCTGTATTGATACTAATCGGTTCCCTGTTGCACTTAGAGTTGCTGGTTACATGCGTTTTCGTAGCATTACGCCCCAGATGCTTGAGAGGAAAGGTTACGGTGCATCGCAACGTGGATATTGCGATCTATTGCGTGATGAATGGTATACGAACTTCTCTACTACCACGATCCACTCTCCAAGCAAACAAGGGGAGACTAACAATGTCCCGAACGTGATGTGAACAACAGGTCCCAGTAAAGATGGACTTCGTAACGATATGACATTGAAAAAAAAGTATGGCGGTGTGATTAAAAATAGCTGCCGAAAGGTATCCCACATCCCCAATATTCCATTGCATGTGTTGGTGCCATGGTGTCAGCGTTGAAAAGCAGGAAATCGTGTCATCGTAAATCAAACGCCGATTACAGATCAATGACCAACCTTTTTTCCCCCTTTTGTTCCAACTTGAAAAGAAATGTGAGCAACCCCGTCACCAAATATTATCACCTCTCTCCTTCTTGTCCTTCTTCCCTCCTTGTTTGTCTTGAAAGAGTATATTATAGGGTATCTGCCGGCACACCGACGACGATTCTTCTCCCCAAGTGTACATATATACATACATACATATATATATGTGTATATATATGAACAACAGAAGACAAAAAAGGCATAAGATGTAGAGCCGCTCTCCGGTCATCATCAGGGCACTGCTCTTGACGGGATTACAGAAACAAAAACCAACGCATGGGTATCACAAATCGCAAACCAGAGCTTACCAAGCATCCGAGAAGTACCGCTTCGACCGACTCCTACCAGCATCTGCTTTCCCGTCTTGGGGAAATGGGGTAATATGGTGAACGACATGGGGCCGATAGACGGCATCGACAGGCGGCATCCAGTCGTCCAGACCTAAAGGAAAATATTCATAAAGCAGGTCAGCGCTTTCGTCTGGACTGTTGACGACGCCAATGGAGAAGGAAGGAGGTCGCATCGGGGTACCGCGCTTTCTTTGCTGCTCATTGGGCGAAGGGGCTTTAACGGGCTCATCGTCGGTGAGGGACAGAGTGACTGGCGCTATGGACTTCTTGGGAGGTGGGGCACTTCTTGAAATGTCCGGAGTCGACTGTGCATACGGTGTGGCATGTTGCATTTGACCTGAAGGCGGATCTTGTGGTATGGCAGTCTGGGCACCCGTGGGCATTTTCCAGGCAAAGTCTGGCGACTGCGGCATGTCATTTGCGTTGAACTCAAAGGGCATCTGCAGCAAGTCTGTCGACTTGGATGGGCCCGCAGCCTGAGCTTGCGCTTGCTTAGGCGTGTTTTGGGTTGTGTCACCTGTCGGGGTTCTGTTGGGCTGCTGCGGGGTGTGCACCTTGCGTGTGGTAGTGCCGCCGCTGATTGGCATGTCTTTTCGGGCTTGGAAGTTGCGCGGGCTTCTACCTCGCACTATGACCGCCCCAGAGTGGATCTCGCAAATGGGCACCTTCATACCGGTGGTAAGAGTAGCGACAACCTTTAGCCTCACTACAAAATGCTGCTGGAGCTCCTTCCTTCGGCCGTTATTGGCAGTTGCAATTCGAAATTGCAATCGCTTCCAGCTAATAGGAAAGCTAACATAGTCGGAATCGACATCTTGGCCGGTTGACAGGTCGAGGGGATACGTGGGTGGTTCCTTCTCCGTCTTGTCCTCGGCAGGAACGTTACTTGTCGCTGGTGTCTTCCACGGCACAGATATGATTTTTACCGCGTTGCCTTCCAGGGATTCTGTGGCGGATATGGTGAGTTCTTGGCCGATGATGGGTATTTGATTTCCTTGCTCGGTCATGAGAAGGTGGAGAGCTCTGGGGAGCGTGACTGTGCCGGTAATCTGGAAAAGGTTTCTTCTGTAGCAAGTCAATTCGGAGGGCGGTGACTGGCCATCGGCGGCGGTGGCCCAGGGCGATTCAGCCAGGAAGAACATGCCGTGAAGCTGGGCAGACATGGATATGGGCACTCGTTGCATGGCGTAATTGAAGATGGGGTATGGCATGGTGGGTAGCGAGAAGCTGAGCAGCTTGTTGTTGCTGTCGATGCTTGGACTTTCAGGAATGCCATTTTGGTCGTGCGGGTGTATCGACTGCTCGTAGCCGCTCTGGACGTCGGAGAAGGGGTCTTCGTAGGTGCTTGGGTAGCGCTTGAGCTGGGGTGGCATCTGCTGGAGGTGGTATGTTGAGTAGGCATCTTCGCTTCTGAGCAGCACTGTTAGCAGCTGCAGCAATGGTAGGTAGGCAGGGTCGAGTGTGCGTACCCAATAAAGGTCTCGGCATCAAACGTCGAGCGCTGGTCGTACTGGTCCACGGGCACCAAGGGCATGGCCATCTGCTGGTCAGGTCCCGTGACTGTCTGCAGCGGGATCGGCATGGGCATGTACGACATGGTGGTCGTGTCAAAGTGCTCCATGGCTCGGGGCGGCGTGGCCGTCGTCGGGGATGGAGTCGCTATAGATTCGGCGCATACACGCGGTGCAAGTGGAGCGGACCCGGCAATGAGAGGTGCGCTCGCGAGAGGCGGGGGCGCGTGGAACGGGGAGCGGCGACGAGAGCGGCGGCGGTGGAGGTGGTTGGTGGTTGGTGGTGGCTAGGTGGGAGATGCGTGGGCGGGCCCTGGGGTTGGAAGCGGAGAGGTGCGGGAGGGCAGGTAGCGGAGCGGAGAAGATGGGGAATGCAAGGACAACAGCAAGAGGGCAGAGGGAGAGAAACGTCGTGGGCGCGTGGCTTGCACAGCGTGCGCACCGGCCAGAAACGCTTGCAGCCGTCTTCAGCGGTCGAGAGAGAGCTGGACAAGCTGTGCGACGACGAGGGTGCATCACACGTGCGGCTGGCCTTCTAAGTATCGCCTGCCTCTCTCTCTCTCTCTTAGGGGCGAGGGTCTGGCGGCGGGAATGGCGTCCAGCTACGCGTGGCTATGCACCGTCTTGGACCCTTCCATGTCCTCGCCCACAGCCACAGACCCCTCGTGTCTATATATGTACACACGTCCAATGCATCTACACCAAAGTATGTTTGTCCTGTGAGCCCCAGTTATATGCACTCCTCCCGAGTTTAGGGAGGCGAGCTTCATCGGCAGGGCTGCTCCAACGGACACGCCGAACGGCGATCAGCGTGCGCCATTATACGGCTCCCAGCCAAGGCCAGGTCCGACATGCTCAATGCGCCCCCCTCCACACATCTCTACATCCCGCCTATAGCTCTCGAGTAATACTCGCTGAAATCAAGCCATCCCAGCCTCTGTATTTACCTCTTCACTGGAACCCTGACGCGACTAATAAGCCAAGCGGTACGCGGTACGCGGCATGCGGCTCCCGTCAGCGCCAAATTACCTATTAGGGAAACCATCCGGTCTCCACAGAGCCCGCAGCCCATCCAATGCACCCCATGCCACGACATCCGGCTAGTTCTCAGCCACCATGATGCAATCCTCCATGTCAAACACATCCTTCTTTCGTCTCCACATCTACAGCTAGGCAAGAAGAGGAAAATATGTATTAAGTCTTTATAAACACCTGTCATGCCCTTTCATTGCGTCCCAAAACAGAAGAAAAAACATATCCCTCCTCAACCTAAGCTGGTGGTATCATGGTCCATGTCGCTGCATCACAGCTCACTTCCTCAAAATTGTGCATGACATCGAACCCCATTGCTGAGAACCCGTCAAAATTGCCATCTCCATCCATCTGCCCTTTGTCAGTGTCTCTGCCCTACCACGGGAATGGGTATGTACTCACATAGTCGAGCAAGCACGCGTTGCATCCTAGTTGCTTGATTTGTCTCATCCCAAGAAGTATCAATCCTTGCAGTAGTGTCGAGTACTCTCCCACACCAGGCGATATCACCGGCGATGAAATACCTCCAGCCGACTCATTGAGATCCTTGAGCGAAGGAATGTACTCGGCTAGACGTGAGTGACTGTTGTACAGCACAACCGTACCCACCAGTGCACCATCCTCCGGCCGCTTTGCCCGAATAATTCCACAAGCCGTCGGATCGGTGAGCGCAAGCTTGTACACCTCTGCCAGCCCTTGTCGGTTGCTCGTTTTGATATGGTCGAGTACCGGTCCGGCGTAGTCCCATCCGTAGACAAGGTCAAACTGAGCTCCTGCGCTTGCCAGACTCTTGGCCATGCCTGCAGGTGGACTCCACGTCTGAAGATTACGAGCGACCATGTTGCATACTGGCCGTGACAGTGCTGCGCCCCATCCCAGTTGCGCAAACCATGGTCGCAGGCGCTTTCGCTCGTTGCCATGTCCTGTTGGGATACCGAGATAGATACTCGGAAGACGAGATCCCAGCTGAAATCTCTTAATGCCTTCCTTCTGTAGCAGAGTCCGTATCGCTCTGTTATGCAGCGAATGTCCAATCGAGAGCTTCCTCCTTGCTGGATCCACAAACAATGCACCAATGACTCCAGTTCCCGTGGCTTTGAAAAAGTACGTTGAGCAGAATCCGTATAGTGCTTGGGTACTGCTGTTTCGGACGACAAAATGCGATTCCTCCACCTCTGGGTGGTGTAGAATGAACGAGCTTGATGTTGCGCTTGAAAGCTCAGATCGTTGGTTTGGCGCGGTACTCTCCACAACGGCTGCCATCAGTGTATCCAACGCACTGCCGTCTCGTTCTTCATTGAAGATCTCAACCAGCCAATGCTGTTTCGATGGATGTAGTTTTTGGCTCTTGCTGATTGTACCAGGCAGTGTTCCGGAGGGTGATAGTTCTCCATACAAGACTCGTACTAACGAGTTTAACGCAGTCTCGGTGAAATCATAGGTACAGATATACGTCCCAATTGTGTTATCCATGGCAAAGTCGTATGGTGAACTTACAGCAACCACAATCAGAGGCTTCTCACGTCTCTCTCCGCCAGTCGTGTATTGCATGTTGCAAATCATAGACACGTGTTTAGTAAATCCATGCTGGTACAAATTTCTATTGGCGTCTGCAGTGAGCACAATGATCGCGCTTGCTCGGCTGATGAGATTCTCGTGAACTGGACGAACACCGTTTGCTGTGTACGACGTGTGCAACAGTCGCCCGTTACGTTGTCTCGCCAGAGAGCGGCCCAGCTCCCTGAAAACTCGTTCTCCGCTCATAACAGACGAATTTTGGTCCCAGGAAGCTGGCCCTGGAGAGTGGCTGGCCGCGCCATTGGCGGCATCAGATATGGCTCGCGATGCAGCCGATGCAGCCAAGGGCTTGACCAAAGGTGTCAGCAGGAGGAGTTCCTCTTCGCTGTCGAGAATATTGGTCAACGGAAGAAGCCTATTCTTGTCGCGCACGACTGTGATGGAGCTATTGTATGCTTTGGTAGACAGCGCAGTATGCAAAGGCTGGAGCTTTTCGAGATAGTTGATACCTGGAGGGTTCAACGCCTTCTCCCATGACGTGCACTTCTTTTTCATGGCTAGCACACGCCTCAGCGAATTGAAGATGCGTTCTTTCGAAACCATCTCGCTCTCAATGCCAGTCTTGAGGCCTTTTAGACCTTCTAGTTGTAGTGAGAGGGCACGGCAAAGAAGGACCACGTCGCAACCGGCGTTGACAGCCATGACGGTTCCACCGCCAACACCGATATTGTGACTGAGAGCATCCATCTCAAGACATTCTGAGACAACTACGCCGTCGAATTTCAGATCCTTGCGGAGTAAATCATCAACGACCTGCTCAGAGAGACAAGCGTGCATAGCATTCAGTCCGGCCGAAGACATGGCGCAGCCACCGACCATCATAGAGTCAAGGCCTCTTTCAATCGCCTTCTTGAACGGGATCAAGGCACTCAAGCTCAGCTGCTCTAATGATTCAGTGATGATGGGCACGTCAAGCGTGGAGCCTAAGAACTCTAGGTTGCCATAAGATGGAAAATGCTTTCCCAGTGTTACGACTCCGCCCTCTTTGTAGCCCTGCATGAACGCACACCCAAAGGCAGACACTTCCTGAGGGTCGTCTCCGGCTGTTCTGACGCCCAAGGGCTGGTTACGTGCATTAGTGAGTACATCGAGACATGGGCCGAATATCCAGTTGATACCACAGGCGGCAATTTCTTGTGCAGTTGCTTTTGCGACTTCAAATGCTAGGTCAGTGGATCCGGTGGCTGCCATGCCCATGTTGCTGGGGTACTGGCGAATGTAGATGTCGTCAAAGAGACTGTTGACCCCGCCATTTTCCTGGTCGATACCAATCGCCAGCGGAACAGGATGACCGGCATCATGGGCAATCTTTTGCAATTCAAAAATGAGCTTTGTTGTGTCCTCGGCGGCTGTGTTGTATCAGCAGGAGCTTGGCACGCAGAGAGAGGTCACATCAAAGCACGTGATATTACATTTGAGGTTTTTGGCAGTCAGCAGGATGCAGCCAACGTGATGCTCCTCGATAAGGGTACGAATGTGGGGAGTCACCGACGTGCCATCGAAGCCCATCATGAACAACTGGCCCTGCATGGCCCCAAGTCAGTGAGTGCGGCCGCAACGGTTGCGTGGAAACAGCCTACCATTGTTCTGCATGGTGAACAGTGGTTAGCAAGGGTCCTTGGGTGCGTAGCGCATGTCGAGAGTGAGAGCGTGCCACGATGCTCACCTGTCGAGATCATCCCATACAGGATCCATCTGCTCAATCTTGGCCATGATGGCAATATCCGGCGCGTCGCGTCGGACTGTGGATGTGACGTGGGATTCCGCGGCGCACCGGCTCTTGGGCGCGGCTGGCAAATGGAGTTTCGGTCGGTCGGTGGACAGAAAGATGGGGAAGATGGCACCGTAGCATTCACGTCGACGTGAGCTGGGGTAAGTAGTTAGCGAGCCGCTAGCCACACGCCCTGGCGCATCGTTACACCACCCTGGTCCCTCTGTTATCAACGACATGCACCTCCGATGGCACCTCACACAACCCCGTAGTCCTTCCGAAACTATCATGGTAAGACCGACCAGGCTGGTGTAGTCATCGCAGCGTTCCTTCGCTCCGTGTACCCACTCAGCGTGTGCAAACGGGCAGCGTGCGCTTCACATGCGTCCATGTAGGCTTTTCCCAAGGGCAACTTAGCCCGCTGTTGATGGACTAATGGCGTCACTGGCAAGCAAGTGCTCGCGATAAAGTAGCAAGAGGGCCGCCATTTTCTTTGTGAAGGGTGTTGAGCTCGCTCAACCGCACACAACTAACCAATCCTTTAATCTTTGCTCCATTTTTTCACTCGCCATGCCTTCCATCGCCCCCATGCCCTCTGCTTCTGCAGATCTACATGAATCCTCTGGTGTCATCAAGTTCACCAACTGCTTGCTGGTCAGAGGTAATGCTCTCATCGATGGAGACCTTTGGGTCAGCTCTACGAGCGGAAAGATCATAAATGGGCAGGAGCTGCTTTACGAACATCGAACTGCACCAGACGAGATTGTCGACCTGGGTGGCCGTATCCTTTGCCCCGGCCTGATCGATACACAACTCAACGGAGCATATGGCTTTGACTTCTCCGTCATACCAGACGAGGGAACAGTGGCGTACGGAAAGGGAGTGCTACAAGTCAACCGAAGACTGGTATCGACGGGTGTCACATCATACCTGCCCACACTGACTTCACAACCACCCGAGGTTTACCAAACAGCTCTACCGTTCCTGGGTCCATCTGGTACTGCGCGCGATGCATCCCTTGGCTCAGAGTCGCTCGGCGCCCACTGCGAAGGGCCCTTTCTTAACCCGACTAAAAACGGCATCCACAACGCATCCCTCCTCTGCGAGCCCGAGAAGGGCATCTCTGACATGGAGACATGCTATGGCCCTAGTCATCTGCAATCGTCCTCATCTGTCAAACTTATAACGCTTGCGCCAGAACTTCGAGGCGCCCTGTCGTGCGTACAACCACTGGCAGAGCGCGGCATCGTCGTGTCTATTGGGCATTCGGAAGCGACGTACGAAGAAGCAAAGGCGGGCATCAGGGCAGGTGCAAGCATGATAACACACCTGTTCAACGCCATGCAGCCCTTGCACCACAGGAACCCGGGAATCTTCGGTCTTCTGGGCACGCCATCTTCTTCGATACAGAAGCCATACTTTGGCATCATCGCCGACGGCATCCATCTTCACCCCACGTCTATCAAAATTGCGTGGAACGCACACCCCGAAGGCCTCATACTCGTCACTGATGCTATGCGGCTAGCGGGCATGCCGGACGGGACATATGACTGGACAAACGGGTCGCGTATCATCAAACAAGGGTCTATGCTTACGCTCGAGGAGAATGGAAAGATTGCGGGAAGCAGCATTCAGCTCATAGACTGTGTTACAAACTTTATCAATTGGACAGGGGCCAGTGTACCAGAGGCACTGAAAGCTGTCACCGAGACACCGGCAAGGATGTTGGGCGTGCAGGATGTGAAAGGGACGCTTAACGAAGGTTCTGATGCAGATCTGGTAGTTTTGGATCTTCAGGAAGGCGTTGGTACGGACAAGAAGTTTGCTGTGGAGCAAGTCTGGAAGTTTGGTAAGAAGGTTTTCGATAAAGCGGGGCATAGCTAAGGATGCCACTGCTTTGGATCACGGCCATGTTTGTGTAGGAGAGAACAAATTTGTGTAGGCAATAGACACGCGCCCCATGACTGCATATCTAAACATTTAGAAATTGATAGACTGTTGCTAGAGTTACATGATCATGCAAGATACCTGACGTTGATCAATTTATCAATTGAAGCTGTTCATGAAACAAGAGCGCTGACTAGGAAAGATGAGAGTTTCGGAAACTTGAAATCAATGCACGCTCGCTGGTACTTGGCTATGCAAATGCTACCTTGTACGCCGAAACGGAGGGCCAAGAGAGATGGATAACAGAAGCCAGAAAGTACTCGCATGTAGAAAGACCAACTTGACCGCAAGAAATAACACACTGGAGCACTGAGTCGTGGAAACAAAGAGTGGGTGGGTATCTCGAAACGAAGTTGATCGGTGTGCTCGCTGTGTGCAGGAAATGGGGGTTAGTGGAGAGGTGGGCAGACGACGAGACAAGGCAGAGATACAATCAGCAACACCTTCCACTCTTACTCTTTTGTGCCCGGTTGATGTCTTCTTCCCACTCTTGTTGGTGGCCAGCGGCACCGGGCGTAGTGGGAAAGCCTAGCCAGCTTCGCCTCTTATCGGCGGCGCCTAGGCGGAAACTACCGTTAGCAGCGCCGGGATAATCAAAGTATCCCGTCACGTTGCCGTTGTTGTCGAGGGCTGGAGTGACACCAGCCATGGTCAGTTGTCTTTGCTCCTCTTCGAGCTTCTTCTGCTCCTGCTCTACCAACTTGCGAGTGATGACGCGGAAGACTTCGTCCACTCCTTCGCCATCCTTTGCGCTTATCTCGTGACAGCAGTCCCAGCCGAGATCTTGTCCCCAGAAGCCGCTAGACCTGTTGCTCTGAGGAGAAGCCATGGAGCCACTCTGGAATGTCGCAGGCACGGAGCCCCAGCCGTTTGGCTGGGCATTGTGCGGTTGTGCGGTCTGTGTGGGATAGAGGTTCTCTGCAACATAGGCGATGCAGCGTTCAAAGGGGACCTTGCGCTTCGTGGGGTCTGCAGCGATGATGTCGGATTTTGTGCCTACTACGTGGAGGATGGCGTCGTCTCCAAGGTTCGTCTTGAGCTCCTTGAACCAGCGGCCCATTTCGTCAAAAGACTGAGGATCTGTGATGTCATAACACAGGACTGCCGCGTTTGCACCTGTGTGTGATATCAGCTTTAGCCCCTTTGTGGTTGTTTTGTTTTCTTTTTTTTCTTCTCTTTCTCTCTCAAACGAGGTTCGGTGGACGGGAAGTAGCCGCGTACCTCTGTAGTATAGCTTGGATATGGAGCGGAAGCGTTCCTGGCCTGCCGTGTCCCATATCTGCAGGCGGACGACGGTTGAAGTGTCGATGTCGACGACTCTCTTTGTTAGGAAGGAGGCACCAACGGTCGACTGTGTAGTGGGCGGGGTGAAGGCGTTTTTGACGTAGCGGTGGACGAGCGAGGTTTTGCCCACGCCCTGGCTGCCGAGAACCACGATCTTAGCCTCAAGGCTGTTGGACATGGCGGGCTGGCGAGGAGAGGCGAGAGGCAACGGACAGGGCCCGGGGGGGAGAGTGACGGGGGTGGGGGTGGGGGTGGGTCAGCGGCAGACGGTGGGCCGGGCCAGGAGAGGCGAGTGAGGCTGCGGTGGTTGCGGTAGCAGGGCAAGTGGCATGGCGAGCAAAGCGTGTGCCGTCGTCGTCGACAGAGGCAGAGGCGTGCAGAAGCAGCCTGGGGACATTTTAGGCCGGAGGGCCAGAGACAAATGACATATGGACCACACAGGCCTCCCGCACCGTTTGGCGCTTGCGGCCCTTGTCTTGGCTAACAGCACCATGTGACGGCCGCCGCTGGCCAATATGACGCCGGTGGGCAAACGGGACTGGTGGGCGATGGGAGACATTGGCTGTGTGTGTGATGGCCGCCGGGTGACGCTCACAAAGAGAAGGGGGGGAGGGCCCCGTCGCCTGTATTTGTGCTGTTGAGCGCAGTAAGGCAGTATTGGGGCATTAGGCCATGTCAACAGTCGTGCGCGTCATGCCCAGCCCAGCCCGCTGTGTCTTCCCCGCGTTTCGGCGCTGCGGCGAGTGCGAGCGTGCGTCTTACATGGTAGTACGTACTATACAGTAAGTACTTACATACATGCATGGATGCACACGTGTAGTGAACGTGTAGAGAAAAAAAAAGGGACCGCGCCGGGGTGCTCGCTGCGAACCCGGACTATATGCGGAAACAGATGGACCGAGCTAGCAGGCCTAATACTCGGAGACATGCATTCATACATGTACCGTCCACACATATCCCCGGTATTTGTCTACACCGCCGTTGCCATCCGCGGCTTTCCGTCACCATCGTGCATGGACATAGGCTGGCTAATCTCCATATATCTTTCCCCATCTCTGGGGAAGTCTTGACCTACATCCATTGCCCAGTATGAACCGTGATAGCAACAACACCCAGCGCAACAAGCTCACCGGTGAGCAGGTCTCCTCGCACAACAGCAGTGACTCTTGCTGGGTCATTGTCCACGGCCGTGCCTACGATGTCACCGAATTCCTGCCTGAGCACCCCGGCGGCTCCAAGATCATCTTGAAGTATGCCGGCAAAGACGCCACCGAGGCCTACGAGCCCATTCACCCGCCCGACACGCTCGACAAGTACCTCGACAAGTCAAAGCACCTGGGCGAGGTCGACATGGCGACGGTGCAGCAAGAGGCCAAGGAATTCGATCCCTACGAGGAGGAGAGGCAGAAGCGCATTGCGCGTATGCCCATTCTCGAGCAATGCTACAACCTCATGGACTTTGAGGCCGTCGCCCGTAACGTCATGAAGAAGTCGGCATGGGCGTACTACTCGAGCGGTGCTGACGACGAGATTGTGAGTCTGCCCTACGCCCTTGCCAGCCCGGATATACACTGACCCAATCCTTACACAGACAATGCGCGAGAACCACAGCGCATTCCACAAGATCTGGTTCCGACCACGCGTCCTCGTCGATGTTGAGAAGGTCGACATCTCCACCACAATGCTCGGCACAAAGTGCGACATACCCTTCTACGTCACCGCCACCGCACTGGGAAAGCTCGGTAACCCAGAAGGAGAGGTCGTCCTAACGCGCAGCGCACACAAGCACAACGTGATTCAGATGATTCCTACATTGGCATCGTGCTCGTTTGATGAGATTGTCGATGCGGCAAAAGACGGTCAATGCCAATGGCTCCAACTCTACGTCAACAAGGACCGCGAAGTCACCAAGCGCATCGTGCAGCATGCCGAGAGGCGAGGCTGCAAAGGTCTCTTCATCACTGTTGATGCTCCACAGCTCGGTCGCCGCGAGAAAGACATGCGAAGCAAGTTTGACGACGTTGGCAGCAATGTCCAGAGCACCGGCGGCGACAATGTGGACCGCAGTCAAGGCGCTGCACGGGCCATCTCGTCCTTCATTGACCCGAGCCTGAGCTGGAAGGACATCCCGTGGTTCAAGAGCATCACCAAGATGCCTATCATTCTCAAGGGTGTGCAATGCGTCGAAGATGTGATCCGAGCCGTCGAGATTGGCGTAGAGGGCGTTGTCCTCTCCAACCATGGTGGTCGTCAGCTCGAGTTCGCCCGCTCTGGTGTAGAGGTTCTCGCTGAAGTCATGCCAGTTCTTCGCGCACGCGGATGGCAAGACCGCATCGAGGTATACATTGATGGTGGTGTGCGACGAGCAACGGACATCATCAAGGCTGTAGCGCTGGGTGCCAAGGGCGTTGGCATTGGTCGGCCTTTCCTTTACGCCATGTCGGCGTATGGTCTCCCAGGAGTTGATCGCGCCATGCAATTGTTGAAGGATGAAATGGAAATGAACATGCGCCTGATTGGGGCTTCAAGCATTGCCGACTTGAATCCTTCCATGCTTGACACTAGGGGACTGAGCATGCACACGGCACCTGTGCCACAAGACACGCTGGGCTTGAACGTGTACGATCCGCTTGTCGGGCCAAAAGAAAAAGTCGTCAGAGAACAGTCAAAATTGTAGATGGCCATGGGCATGGTTGTATTATACATAAGCGTTTTTTCAGAAGCGCATTCGGGTTTAGATTGTATACATCAGTTGGAATTATCATGCAGAGTACACTTGATGCTTAGGCGAGAGTCCGGCAGGCGGATTACCCTGTTTGGAGCGAATGCAGAGCACGTGAAAACGCGTCCATGTGTGGAGAAGGACGACGGAGGTGGATCCGAAGTGCCGATTGTCGAGCGTCCGTGGGTTTTGGCGTGCTTTTCGAACTTCAATGCGACAGGGATAACACCCACCAACCACCATTCACGTCACCGTTCTACACCACTCCATATCTTCGTATTGTATTTTGGTCCACATCGCGCATTTCTCGCCATTTATTGCTTGTTCTTCTTGATTTTATTCTTATTATGGAAGCTTCCGATACTTCGGTGGGGTCCAGCGTGGGCTGGGACGAAGCGCAGTGTACAGCAGCTCTCGCCCAACTGGAACAGCTGCAGACGCAGGTACACATGGTTTCGCACGTCCTGTTGATTAAAAATTGACATTTTTGCAGATAGATGACCTTCGCCTGGCTATTCCACGGATAATCGAGCCCTTTCATAGACCCCCGAATGCAACAACGTACAAGTTATACACCCAGGGCGTACTTTCTTCTCAGACTGGCCTCAATGCGCTCAAGGATCGTTGGAACCTTCCTGAGGTACAGAACACATTTGAGCATGCTAAGCAAAGCTTCGGCGCAAACGCCGACTTGTCCGAGGCCGTCTCGGTCCCCTCCCACGGCTGGGTCGAAAGGGAACAGGAAGTAAATAGATCTACAAGCAAGAGCGGGAGCAAAACTGCCGAGGATACCGGTGCTGTGTTTTCGGATAGTGACATATCTCGTATAGTCGTCGTGTTTCGCAAGGCGCATCCAACCCTCAAGGTCGAGACAAACGACGAGGACCACAGCATACATGTAAGGCTATCGCTTCACTTGCATACTTCACTTCGCTCACCTTTATTGTAGATTCGTTTCGTTGCCAGCTCTCTTATGCTCAAGTTTCGCGTCACTATCGATCGTGAATCAAACGGTCGTCACAAACTCAATGCAGAGTGCCTGGGGACAACTGAATCCTGTTTAGCAATTACGCGTTGTATCGCCTCACGGCCAAACAAAAACGACTTGAGATATCTACTGGTATGTTTGCATCATCACATGCACATCAAAGACACCATGGGCACACATATTAATCATTTTAGGACATGATTGCTGCATACAAGATTGTTAAAGGGATATCGTGTGACAAATGTTCAAAGATGCTGGATAGTGCCGCCTTGACACCTACCGCCCGACGAAGCAAGCAAGTTGCTACAGCAGATGAAAGCCTGGATACAGTCTGGGTAGCACTCCACGAGAGCTGCCTTGATTGATTCAAGCCTGCACCGGATCGTTTTGAATCTTTACATAGTAAGAGTAAAGTCAAACGAGATGGTGAAATGGAAGCCCGACGCCGAACTCGTTATCCACGTGCCCACCCAAAACCTGCGGCAGGTATTGAGTGTCCTGGAACCAGACTCCATTCACCATTCGCACGGCTTCTGGGTAATGATTCGACTTCCTGTTCCTGTATGGCTCCTGTTGCCAAATAGCATCTGTCCACGTCGATCGGTTTGGTTCGGCGTGTTTTCGGGTTCGAAAATCATAGCTTAGGCCACACTGTCGTCCGCCGAGCATGCGAGACTTGGTCCAAGGGGCGAACTTTTGCGAGTTGAAGCCACATGACATGCCGGATTCGTCAAGATGTGGATATCCGGCCCACTGAGATCGAGGGGGACGGCTGGATACGCAGTCTGTGGAACGAGCACCAAACCCAATGTATATATCAGGCCCGGTGTTGCGGAGAATATCTTTCATACGGCCCCACGATGACCCATTCTTGCCATCTTTTGGCCATATAAAGGCCTTGGAGGTCTTTACAGGTCGCAGTCTTCGACCGTCCTGGTACCATCCTCGCTGACAGGGGTTGTACCTTGCTGTCTCGTGTCTGAATCCGTCGACTGTCTGCACGAACACGGGCAAGTTGGGTATATGGGAATTGGTCATTTTGTACAGCGGGGAATGAAACTGAAATGAGACTTTCTCTCTGGATGTTGCAATCCACTCACACTCTTGAAGGGTTTACACAGTTGGATGTTTGCCAGCTTACGCTGCAGAAAATGGATGCGATTTATACAGGCGGATTGCTATGAGATGGTCACCAGCTTAGATGTTTGCGCATACTACTACCAGGGACACGGGACTGTTTTATTCTTCCAGTTTACAATCACTCGTGGGTACAAAGTCTGTGATGATTTCTTGGAGAAGCATCTTTCCCCGTCTCTCAGCCCGGAACAAATAAATTTTTAGGCCAAATATGATGAATTTAATGAAATTCACGATTTTTGAGGAAGACAATAACAAGGCGGGGAGGTCTAAAGTCTGATCGCGCATCGGGGTCCTGTCATTTGTATGGTATAGTAGACACGGAATGGTACCCGCGCTCTCACTTTGACGCGGTTCCTGGAGTTGGCAGGGATAAAAAGTGCCCGAGCTTTGCTGGTTCAACAACGCGATCTCGTTGCTCCAAGTTTGTTTTCGGCATCACCAACAACACAGCCCAACGCACTTAACATGTCGCTGTTCGGCAATCTTGGAGCCTCGCAGCCTGCTTCTACTGGTACCTCGGGCGGAGGCTTGTTTGGAACAGCAGGAGGCGCATCAGGCGGCACGACATCAAGCTTGTTTGGCAATCTGGGCGCAGGCACATCCAATGCGCAATCTGGCACAACGCAAGCAACAAGCAGTGGAGGTCTAGGCGGCGGTCTGTTCGGTGCAGCAAAGTCGACTGCTACCACGACACCCTCGCTGTTCGCTGGCGCAGCATCGACAACGCAACCCCAGCAGCAATCGCAACCACAAACGGGCGGCTTCTCGCTGTTCAGCAACACGGCGGCGCAACCGACTACCAACAACACGCAACAAACAGGCGGTCTTGGTCAGACCTCGCTTTTCAATACCACGACCCAGCAGCAGACCCAGCAACCCCAGCAGCCCCAGCAACAGGGCGCGTCGCTCGCCCAGGCAAACGCAGGCTCCGGCCGCTCCGCTCATTTCGATCATCTCCTGGAACGGGGACGTAAGCGCAATGCTGGCGAGAATGGCACCAGCAACTTTGACGAGCTGCCGTCGCTCCAGTTGGGCCTTGGCGACATTGCACGCAAGGTGCGAAACTTGGGTTCTGGAGGCCCTTCGGCGGATCAGGTCCAAGATCGCGCTCAAGACCGCGCTGCGTAAGTTGGGTGTGCAGTCACCAGATGAATTTGTACTGACGCTTTCCAGCCACTATCTACTCTCAGCTTCTGGCGTGAAGATGGGCAGCACCCTCCGAGATCTCAACCAGTTCTCTTCCCAGGCAGGCCTCGCTACACCTGGCCAGGTTCAAAGTCTCTTCGACAACGACGTGGACGGTTACATCTCCAACTTGCATTCGCAGTCCACCTTAGCCCTCATCCAAGAAGGATTAGAGCAGTCCAAGCGTGACTTCGATACCTTCCTGGAGGACAATGTGCAGATCGAATGGGATAAACAGCGGCAGAGGATCTACGAGCACTTTGGTCTGGGTAGACAGAGCGAAGACATGGCAGCCTCGCAGAGCGGCTTTGGCAGCACAGCTAGAGGGGCTTTCGGACGCGCTACAGCACGCAAGGGTCGTTCCATGGGCCCCAATGGGGCATCAGTCAATGGACGATCGACGTTTGGAGCCTCCGCTGCTGGACCACCTGTCCTGGGTGCTTCTCAAAGTGTGCTAGGTGGCCGAGATGTCTCTGATAAATCCGTCATGGGCGGACAAGTTGGACTCCAAGACCGATATGCACGAGACAAACAAGAGAAATTCATGGACGAGGTCAAGAGGCTCAATGAGGCAAGGCTACGCGAAGAATCGTTCTCTGTGCTTCACTCTTTCTCTAGTGTAGAGAAGGCTGCTGGCACCGAGTACTCGGATCATTTCATCAACGCTTACGGAGCACTTGTTTCTATTACTGGTGAGAAGACTGAAGCAGAAGCATCCAACCCAGGCTCAAACCAGCCCAAGGAGCGGAGCTTCGCCAAGGACTATCTGGACGACCAGCCCAACTCTGTCGCGAGCGTACGGATGCGCAAGCGCATACTAGATGGCTCTCGTAAGTATCTAGAAAACAAGTTCCTGGAACAGGTAGATGAGGTTTTGCGAAAGAATCCGTCGGAAGCGCTTGTTGGCGGTGTTCCGTCCATGCTCAACAAGATTCGTGGATTTGTCAGAGCCAAAGCTGCGTTTAAGGAGCTTGGTGCGGATACCGAGTTGTTCCAGAGGATAGGAGAGGCAGGAGATGAATTCCCATGGATCATCATCTTCTTCTTGTTAAGAGGTGGCCTTTTGACGGAAGCTGCCGAGTATGTCCGAGAGAAGAGGAACTTCTTTCAAAACACCGATAGAAACTTTCAATCGGCAATCACACAGTATGCTACGGATCCTGACCGTAGGCTGAGCCCGGACACTCAACAAAAGGTGGGCCACACACACGCTCAGAGGACTCGTTTAAAGACACCCGAAGATCCTTACCGCATGGCCTGTTACAAGATTGTAGGCCGATGTGACATGAGCAAGCGCAACCTGGAGCCTATCAAGGAGACCATGGACGACTGGGTGTGGCTACAGTTCAACTTGGCTCGCGAAGGCAACAGAGCCGAAGAAAACGCGGGTGAAATTTTCGGCTTGGAAGAGCTGCGAACGACGATCAAGGATATTGGCCAACGCCACTTTATGAACGACACAGCTGAATCTGCTGGTGGATACGGAGTATACTTCTATCTTGCTACGCTTGCTGGCTTGTTCGAGCCTGCGGTCAATTACCTCTATACGCACAACTATGTGTCTGCGGTTCATTTCGCTATTGCTCTGGACTACTATGGGCTACTACGAGTTTCAGATTGGACAACAGCTGGAGGCGAGATTTTGACCTACACAACACGACAACAGCCGCAGTTGAACTTTGGACGAGTGGTTGGATACTACACCAGTGACTTCCGGGCGGCCCGAGCTGATGCTGCAGCTGACTACTTGGTGTTGATATGCATGAACGCAGACCTACCAGGCGAAGCGGGCAGGCAGCAAGCAGACCTTTGCCACGAGGCACTCCGTGAGCTTGTCCTTGAAACACGCGAGTTTTCCACATTGCTAGGCGATGTCAAATCGAATGGGCAAACAACGCCTGGTCTCATTCAAGAACGTGTGCCATTACTGAAACTCGACGGCGAAACGGGTCTACTCAATACAATCACGAGCGAAGCGGCAAGAATGGCAGATGATAATGGACGCATCAACGATGCCATTTTGCTGTGCCACTTGGCCGGCGAGTATGACAGCGTAGTCACCATTCTCAACCGTGCGCTTGCTGAGGCTCTTTCGGTAGAGCTTGGTCAAGAGCCACTTCGTCTGGAACCACTCAAGCCACGCTTGAATGCAGGCGAGTCGCAACAGCAGCAACAGCAGTCGGACGCGTCGTCGAGCTTGAGCATGCTTGGAACAGACGATCCTGTGGAGCTTGCCCAGAAGGTCCTGGCACTATACAATGCAAACAGTCTGTGGTGGAAGAAGGTTTCGCAGGTGAACCGTGAAGCGGTGGGCATCCTGTTCCAGCTTAACAATGCCAAGAAGGTGATTGAAGCTGGTGACTACATGGCAGCACTTGGGGTAAGTTTGCAGATGACCGGACTAAGATTGGTTCCCACTGACATGTTTGTTAGCAAATCGAGAATCTCCGCATCCTCCCGTTGTCTGCTGGAGGCAACGTCAGCGATATTCGGGCCGCCGCCAACAGCTTCAACTCGTATCCTCAGGAGATATCGCGGAACATTGGCAATGTGCTACTATGGTGCATTGGCTGCTGTTCAAGACACCGGGAGCATCTTCTTTCTGGACAGTTTGAAGACCAGATGCGTAAGGTGCTGGCGGATCAGCTGCTGCAAAAGGCCAAGGACCTCATGGTATTTGCTGGGCTGATCAAGTATAAGCTTCCGCCCAGGGTGTTTGAGACGTTGGCGCGAGAGGGTCTGGAAGTTGGCGCTTTTTGATGGAAATGATGTAGCGGTAGTGGGACGTGGTGTTGGGCATAGTGCGAGGCGTATGTCTATGTACATAGGCGTGCTTGTGCATATAGTATTTGCTTGTTGGACAGGTTTATTTGGACCGGCGTGGGGTGATACCAAACGATCAACGAATCAATCATGGTCGCAACTGAATCTCGCTTGATTTCGTCCCGTGTGTCGTGTTGGTCCTGGAGCGGACAAGAGGTGGCGTGACCGGACTGCAGGAAAAGGCAGCGAGTGAGGCGTTCAAGGACAAAGGCGCTGGCAGTGCAAAGTATGGCATTGGTGTTTCTTGGCCTGGGCTGCGGATCGCCGGTGGTGCGGTGGTGCGACCCCACCCTAGCGGACCGGGGAGCTCTTTTCTTGGGGACTCCCACGTCATTGGGCTAGCTGCACCGTCAAATCAGACCATGGCCTGTTCTTCACCGGCTGGCAACACATGCATACATACTCCGTCTCCCTAGCCCTCGTCGCCGGCGTCCCACGCAGCAGCAGCCACCTCAGCGATAGGACGCGCCGGCCATTGCACTGTATTTAGGTTGTGACTTGCGCTTCTCCAGGGCATCTTCGGCAAAGCTACCCCTCCATCTCCCACCATCCCACCTCTGCCCATCAAAGCTTCCTCAACACGCAGGGGCCCGCTTCTTTTGGCGTCCGCAAGTTTTCTGCTAGAGTAGACGCGTGAATCCACCTTGACCTCATACCGACCCACGTCCAAATATCTTTTCTGTCGTCCTGCACTCACTGCCTTTGATAACCTCCCTCTCTCTCACGTTCACCCATCTACCCCTCTATTCTGCCCACTCCGCCCACTCCGCCCACTCCGCCCACTCCGCCTACTCCCTCTACCACCACATCACACCACTACCACTACCACTACCACAATATGGCGCCCACCGACGTCCCGGCGCCCCTCGAGGGCAAGAAGAGGCGCATTGGAGTCATGACTAGCGGAGGAGACGCGCCCGGCATGAACGGTGCAGTACGAGCCGTTGTCCGTACGGCCCTTCACAACAATTGCGAGGCCTACGCCATATACGAAGGCTACGACGGCCTGGTCAAAGGCGGCGACATGATCAAGGAGATGAAGTGGGAAGATGTTCGAGGCTTCCTGTCAGAAGGAGGCACCCTCATCGGCACAGCGAGATGCATGGAGTTTATGCAGCGTGAGGGACGCCGGACAGCCGCAAAGAACCTGATTGTCAAGGGAATCGACGCCCTCATCATCTGCGGTGGTGATGGCTCACTCACCGGTGCAGACAAGTTCCGCGCAGAATGGCCAGAACTGCTAGACGAGTTGGTCAAAGATAAGCAGCTCACGCCGGAGCAAATTGAACCCTTTAAACACCTCAACATTGTCGGTCTCGTCGGCTCCATTGACAATGACTTGTCCATGACTGATGCCACCATTGGTTGCTACACATCACTTGGCCGTATCTGCGAAGCCATCGACTCCGTCGACACTACCGCCGTAAGCCACCAGCGGGCGTTCGTCATCGAGGTCATGGGAAGGCATTGCGGATGGCTTGCCCTTAGTGCTGGTGTTGCAACTGGCGCAGACTTTGTCTTCATCCCAGAGAATCCACCAGAAGAAGGCTGGGAACAAGAAATGTGCCGACAGATCAAGAAGCACAGGCAAATGGGAAAGCGAAAGACGATTGTCGTCGTCGCCGAAGGCGCCATTGATCGCAATCTTAACAAAATCACATCAGAGCACGTCAAGAATGTTCTTGCAAACGATGCAAAGCTCGATACTCGTGTGACAACGCTTGGGCATGTCCAACGTGGAGGTACACCATGTGCTTACGACCGTATGCTGTCAACACTCCAAGGTGTTGAAGCAGTAAAGGCAGTTTTGGACGCTAGCCCCGAAGTGCCCAGCCCTGTCATCTGTATGCAAGAGAACAAGATTGTCCGCCGCCCGCTTCTCGAGGCCGTTGCTCAGACCAAGGAAGTTGCTGTAGCTATCGGAAACAAGGACTTCCACAAGGCTATGCAGTTCCGCGACACTGAATTCGAACAGCAATACCAGGCCTACAAGATTACTACAGCAGCCGACCAGCCCGAACTCTTGTTGCCTGAGGACAAGCGCATGCGCGTTGGTATCATTCACGTTGGAGCTCCAGCTGGAGGAATGAACGCCGCTACCCGTGCTGCCGTAGCGCACTGCCTTGCTCGTGGCCACACCCCAGTCGCACTTCACAATGGTTTCCCTGGTATCATCCGCCATCACTCCGATGTGCCAATCGGCGCGGTCCGAGACATCAAGTGGATTGATGCTGAGACTTGGGCATCCAAGGGAGGATCTGAGATTGGCACAAACCGTGGACTTCCTAGTGAGGATCTAGAAACTGTTTCGTTTGTCTTTAAGAAGTACGACATCCAAGCTTTGTTTGTTGTTGGTGGATTCGAGGCGTTCACGGCAGTTTCTGAACTGCGAAAAGCCCGCGAACACTATAAGGCGTTCAAGATTCCCATGGTAAGTATATTCCAACATGAATTTGGGGTTCATGGCGTATGAAGCATGTACTAACATAAGCTTAGGTTATCCTCCCTGCCACCATCTCAAACAATGTCCCTGGTACCGAGTACTCGATCGGTTCGGATACATGTCTGAATGCCCTCATTCAATATTCTGATGCCTGTCGCCAATCTGCATCCGCAACCCGCCGTCGTGTCTTTGTCATTGAGACACAAGGTGGCGAATCCGGTTACATTGCAACTGTCGCTGGTCTCAGTATTGGAGCGCTGGCAGTGTACACACCAGAAGACGGTATCGACCTCAAGATGCTGGACCGCGATATCGACCACTTGCGCAGTGTATTCGCAAAGGACCAGGGTATCAGCAGATCTGGCAAAGTGATCTTGGTCAACGAGAAGGCATCAAAGACGTACTCTGTACAGATCATCGCACAGATGATTGCCGAAGCTGGCAAAGGCAAGTTTGAATCGCGTCACGGAGTACCTGGCCACTTCCAGCAAGGCACAATTCCCTCTCCAATGGACCGTGTCAGGGCTGTCAGGTTCGCTACCAAGGCCATGCAGCATCTAGAGAGCTTCGCTGGCATGTCACCCGACGACATTGAGGATGATCCCATGTCCATTAGTGTCATTGGTATCAAGGGCAGCAAGTTGCTCTTCTCCCCCATGGAGTCTGTTGAGAAGCGGGAGACTGAGTGGCACCGAAGACGTCCTAAGCATGAGTTCTGGATGGCTCTCAAGGAGACGGTGGATATGCTGTCTGGCAGGCCGCAAGCCCCCACACAGCCTACAGATATTGATACCCTGGCTGGTCGGCCCGCCAAATAAGTGCGTGGAGATTTCGGCAACCCTTGATCGCTTCCTAGAGTACAAAGGCGTATAGAAAGTCTGAAAGGGCTCTTGAGCGAGATGTCGATGATGATGATGCTGTAATGTAGATTCTAAATTATGATAACGACCTATCCATGCTATGATGATTTACTACTATTCGTCCTGAAATGCTTTGAGACTCTCGTCGTTCCAACTGAGAAACTTGCCACTAAGTTCTTTTCCGCCGCTGACAGCCAGTTTGGCGATGACGTTTCCAGGTTGCTCTGGCTTCAAAAGACCCCCACTGCTCTTCAGCCCGCTAAACTTTTCCCTATCCTTTTCGCTCATTCGCTCATGGTGTACTTCACGAATTTCCCGCTGCATTTCCGTGTCCACAACACCCGGTCGAATAGAAATGGTAGTAATATCCGGCTCCTCTACTGAAAGCGTCAAAGCAAGATGATTCAGCACCGCTTTCCCCGCGCCATAGCAACCCCAGCCTTGATAAGCCGACACTGCAGCCCCTGACGAAGTAAGAATGATGCGACCCTTCGTCTTACGCAGAGCCGGAAGCGCCGCTTGAATCTACACACACACGCACATTATCACATTAGCAACTCCCACATTGATCTGAAAAGAAGAAAAAAAAGACAAGAAAACTAAAAAACATGGGGGGAATCTTCCAACATACCAACCCGATTGCACTAAAAACATTAATATCAAATCCTTTCCTCCACTCGTCCAACCCCGCATCTGCTACTTTCTTGACGGGATCCAACGTCCCATGATTGACAATCACGGCGTCCAGCCTTCCCCAGCGCTCTTGCGCTAGTTCCACGGCGCGCTTGGGAATGGAGGGGTTCGCCATGTCGCCCGCGAGTACCTCGACGTTTTCAGAGCCGTACTGGTAGTGCAGCGCATCGAGGGCCGAGTGCGTGCGTGATATGAGGATTAGTTTGTGGGAGCGCGAGAGGAGGTGGTGTGCGATTGCTTGGCCGATTCCTGAGTCAAGAAGCTTGGTTTTTAGCAAGTTCAACGGTTAATTTTGGGCGTTTTTTTTTCTTAAAAAAAGGTTATGATGAGGTGTGGTGGTTTTTTTGTGTGCATGGTACAAGAGCATTGCATGTGCTCTTTTGATATGCCACCTTTTTGGAAAGAGAGAGAGAGACGGAAAAAGGGAAATTATTGGGATTGTTGATGGAAAAAGGTAATGGGAGTTAAAGGAGCTTGGCTTACCTCTTGAAGCACCGGTAAGTACGATGACCATTTCCTTTGATTCGCTCATTTTGGGGAGGTGTGTTTCAGGGCTAATGTGCTTGTCAGGGTGTATGTGGTAGGGTGAGGGGGAAAAGTTGGGTGGGTAGATGGGGATGACGTCATCTTAGTCATCTCATATTGACATTCTTCAAACGATTTCGTAGTCGTAGTTTACTATATAGAAGTTGTGTAGTATTAATGAGAGTGAAATTCGTTGCTAGGCCATCTTAATACTGTATTGATAAGGTTTTTGCGAATAGTGGATTATAGTAAGCAATTAACTATGTTGTTGTACTAAACATAACTATGCTAAAATATTATTAAGTCGGAGCAGGATGTATAATCAATATTAGCGAATCTATTCATGCGCAGCGTTAGACATGTAGGGTTGTAGACGCAGAGTTCGTTTCTCGCAATTATATCTAAGAGAGGTCGATGTATGATTGGATCAATACCATTCACACTTTTGCGTTACCACCCCAAGGCCCCTTTGCTTCATGAAATATTCCCTCCTACATACTAGCTTTTCCACGACTCTCAAACGGTAAGACAAGGACTAGTAGCCCAGCGGCAATGAAAAGCGCCCCAGACACATATACCGGTATACTCGTTTCCAGATCCGCAAACATGGCCACAATAGGAGCCATGATTCCAAAAATCCGATTCGCACTCGCAGTGATAGCATTACCCGTGCCCCGATCTTTTGTCGGGAAGATCTCTGGAGTATAAGCGTACAAGACAGCATACATAATGTTACTCATAAAATTGTAGGCGCAGTTCCAGCCGAGGAGGCTATCCGAGGTGAGAGCAGTAGTTGAGCAGAGTAAGAAGACGCCTGTGAGCACTGTGGATGCAGCCAAAGTACCTTTGCGGCCAATCAAGGGTGTCTCAACCAAGACGCCGCCGAGGATACAGCCTGGGACGCCCAGAACAGCGATTATCAGACTATTACGGTAGGTGATGTATGTTGAGCCGTCGCCAAAATCCACGCCTCGAGTTGCTTGGATATAGGGCAGGAAGGCATTGTAAAGAGGATATCCGAGTCCAATAAACGCCCAGACTATGGTGATGATGCTGGTGGAGAAGGCGAGCCTTTTTGTGGCAAAGAGGGCTTTGACATGTGAACTGTCAAGCTTCTGGAGATTTCTTTTGATTACGGCAGCCGCGGTGATGTGTTGCTGAGAACTACCCGACTGTGCGACGAGGTTACAGTCTTCCAAATCCTGAACTGTCAATGGGGATGTTTTGCCGTTGCGGCGGGCGACTTCATGAACAACTTCGACGGCTTTTTCGTCTTCGCCTTTGCCCATGAGGTATTTTGGAGACTCGAAAATGGTAAAGAAGACGAAACGTATGGCGAACATGATCAACGCTGTACCGCCCATGACCTGATTTTTTTTGATATTAGTGTATGCTCGTAAAGCATTATAAAGTCTCACTTACGAGCACAAAATACCGCCAACCCATGTTTTCTCCTTTTGTACATGTATCCTCGGTCTGCTGACACGTCAAGTTGCCGAGCAACGGCCATGCCACAAGCGTAGCAAAAACCTGTGCTAGCGACCAGTATATCGAGAGTATCGTAAGCAAGTACTGATGTGATCCGGGTAGAAATTCCAAGAAAATTGCAGAGTCGACAGGGAGATTACCACCCACACCAACAGACCAGAGCGCAGCAAATGTGCCAATAGCAGCAAAATTCGGACTGCCAGCCGCCACCATACCAAAAACCGCAGTGATACCAATGGTAAGGTTGAAAGCCCATCGTCTACCAAAGATGTCGCAGCCGAAACCCCAGAATACTGCGCCGAACAAGAGACCGATATTTTGGGACAATGTCAGAAAAGGTGGTCGATTAGGTCTGAACTCGTTGCTAACAGGGGTGAAAATGAGCGATGTCACAATAGGCCATAGGTTATCCATTGCCCATCCGAATCCAATGACGATAAAAAGCTGTAGTTGAAATTAACAATTTGAGTGGCAGACGAGCTCATAAACAAGTCGCAAGATATGAATATAAAGATACAGTCAAAAGGAAGTTGTACGCATGCCATGTGAGACTGACCTGCCATTGGTACCGTCCCATACCTATATCCTGGACGGCTTTGTTCAGCACTTTTGCTTTGGCCTCGTATACAGGGTCCAACGATCCATCCTCAAGAACACTGACGGGCGTTGCTTCATTTCTCGTCGTGTGTTGTATTGTAGGGTTCTTAGTATGGTCGTCCGCCCTATATGCACTTTCTGTTGCTGCTGCCTCCGCCATTACCTTGTTTAGTATGGTGAAAGGACGGAAGTTTTCTGTTAACTAATTTCCGATTTCGTGTTTATGATTGACAGAGTCGATCAGGTTTGTAACGAAAGAGGGTAGCGCCAGGGTAAAGTGGGCGCTGGCAATTGCGAACGTCCTGTGCAACCGGACTATTCTAGTGAGACTGCATATAAGGTGATAGACCCTAGTGTTACTCATCACGCAATCGGCCTCTTTGTTTGCGCGATGCAGCCACATAGTCGGATAAGGCGACCTTGCATGTGGGGTAGACGAACCTTGGGTTTACGTTGTATACGAAGGCTAAATCTATGCTTTCAGCTACCTACATACTCGTCATAGAACATTGAGCTATCACTGTAGATCTTATGCAGATTGAGGAGCGAGCGATACGCCGTACATTTTGTGTCTAACTTTTGGCAAGATCTGCATTGCATATAAGGTGATGGTGTGAGGGTTGGGGTTTAGTTGAGTGACCAATGTGCCAATTTAGCTTAGATGACGTAATATCACTCCCGTAGCCATTTGAAGTTAATAGGGTTTAGTCAAAAAGTCATTATTTGTGTATAGAATAAGTCTATGCCATACTGATTGCTGAACGTAGCCTCATAGGCATCGGCGCATCTCAGCATGATTAGAAGGCTCAGCATTGCCGCCTACTTCCATAACTTGCTCAGACTGGTGGCCTTGTCGTCATGCTTGTTCAGCACCTTGGCCGTCGCCAGGTCAAAGTCCTCCTGTGTGACGTGCACTCTCCTCTCCCTGAGGGCATACATACCGGCCTCAGTACACACACCCTTCAACTCAGCACCAGAGCATCCGTTCATCTTTTCCGCAATCTTTGTGAGATTGATTCCACGTGTCAAGTTCATGCTCCTCGAGTGAATTCGCAGAATATCAGCACGCGCTTCGACGGTTGGCGGTGGGAATTCGATCTTTCGGTCAATGCGACCAGGTCGTAACAGGGCGGGGTCGAGGATGTCAAGTCGATTGGTTGCCATGATGATCTTGATGTTCTTAGTCGGCTCAAAACCATCCAACTGGTTCAACAGCTCCAACATAGTTCGCTGCACCTCCGAATCACCGCCAGAGCTTCCCTCAACACGACTTGATCCAATACTGTCGATTTCGTCCATGAAGATGATGCTAGGAGCATGCTCTCGAGCCATGACGAACAACTCTCGGACCATACGACTACCCTCACCAATGTACTTTTGGACCAACTCGCTACCAGATACTCGAATGAATTTGCAGTCGGCGTGATGCGCAACAGCACGCGCAAGCAGCGTCTTTCCAGTTCCAGGGGGGCCGTATAACAAAACACCTTTGGGTTGGGCAATACCGAGTGATTCGAAGAGTTCGGGATGTTGTAGACCGAGCTCGATGACCTCCTTGATTTCCTTGATCTGCTGGTCCAAACCACCAATCATGTCATATGTACTGTCGGGCACCTTTTCGACCATCATGAGCGAGACAAGCGGGTCGACCGAAGACGGGAGTAGCTTTTCGAGCTTGTACGAATCGCTGAGTAAGGTGACGCGTTTGCCAGCGGTGAGCTTGGTGATGTCGACACTGTCGGCAACATCGACGACTAGATGAGTTAGATTTGGAGCTTCATGTAGCATGTTGTGGGTAAATACCGTATTTGCCCTCGGGATGCACCTTGACCAGCACCTTCTTGGTGCCCATGACCTTGACCACTTCGCCGACATAGGACCCCGGTTGCTGAAGCAGGCCCAGCTCTTCGCGCAGTAATCGCACCCTCGAGTTGTAGTCGTTGCGTTGGGCCTCGAGTCGTCGTAGCTTTGCCTGGCCTTGTATGATCTCGAGCTTCATCGCCTCGATCTTGTTGTGGAAGAAGGTGTCGAGCGCCATGGCTGTGGCGGGCGCCGTCGGCGATGTTCCGTTGGCAGGGAGAGGGGCGGTACTGCACAAGTCTCTGGAGGTAGACGGAGAGCCAATAGATGAGCGGATGGCGGCGAGTGAATGTAGATATGCGGTGGGGACGGCGGTGGTGATGGGAATAGCAATGGCACGGCCGTGGGTGATTGTTGGACTGGCTCGGACATTGACACGCCCGTCCCACTGGAAGCTTCCGAAGCTGCGACGCGCGGATTAATGGTTTGGCCGGGCGTGGGCGAGCGCCTGCGCCACATGTTGAGGCGCCATGTTGAGAGAGATGCCCCGCCGCGGCCGGGGCCACTGCTGCCGTTGCCGCGGCACCGCCACAGATGCAGACGGGTGGGGAGCTGGGTAGCAAAAGGCATAGCCAGACGATGCTACAGATACGGCCCCATTAATGTGCCGTCATCACAAGAGCTGGTCGGTTCTTGCGTGCAGCAGAGTGCACCGGCTGCAGCGCGTGAGCCGGTTTAATCGGCAGTGAGACAGGACCCGCAGAAGATGCCATGGTTATCTGGTGTAGTGGTGTGGTGCTGAGTGGGTGAGGCGGCCGCTCGCACATGATGGCTGGTCATCTGCCTGCAGCTTCCGCCCACACCAGACCTCAGCAGATGCGGGCACGGCAAAGACGGACATGCCTCTCGTCCCTTCTTTGATCGCTGGCATTGCACGGCGGCAGGCTAGAGTGACTCGTGCGCATAAACACAAGGCCTGAGCTGGGGCCATTCTAAGTTTCCACTCTGCCCAAAACAAGGCCGGGCTGCAGATAGCCTGCCTGCTCTTTTTCTCTGGGTCTCTACGAGCATCCACCGCACCGCCATGGAGGACCGCACTCCCAACAGCGGCGACGCCAAACCCTCCCCAGAGACATCCCGTCGGAGTAGCACCCAAGGCACTGCCACGGCGAGCGACGCGCCCGCCCAAACTGCCATGGCTGGAGAATCCGCGCGCAGGCGATCTCAAGCTGCCATGCAGCCTTCGAGCTATGGTAAGACTCCTAGATAAAGACCACGAGCAACAACAACACCAATGCCAACATGCTAACGCGGCCACAGGCACCATCTCCGCCGGCAAAGACAGCAAGGACCGCCGTCCGCAAAATCCACCCGTCTCAGAAGGCTCCTCCAAACCCAAGAAGCCCTCAATGACGCGCCGTACAACATCGTCCAAATGGCCGCAGAAGGGGCAAGAATTCAGTGTCGACGATGCCGAGGAGGAGGTTGAGCTCGACCAGGCCCAGCAAGACCAACAAAAGAAACAACGACAGACATTGCGCCGCAAATCCTCGACTGTCCGACGCAGAACCGCTGCACAGCCGGCGACCCTGACCACGATAGACTCTACCGAAGACGACGAGGCTGAGCAGGACAGCGCAGGGCTAACAACCGGCACGGATGCAGACGCGACGCCCGTCTCCTCGAGTGAAGAGACGGTGCAGGCAGAGGACGAAAGCGGAGGCGCCGACGACGACGAACTAAGTGACGCGGAGAGCTTCACCCTACGCGACCGCCAGGATGCAATCAACGTGACACATCCCTTTGGTATCAGGATCTGGAAGCCCGCCCTCTACAAAAAGGGTCGTTCAGTTCAGCGCAATGCAGAGGCCGACATCCACTCTTCGCCAGGTCTCTACGTCAGCAGGTGGTTGCTCCTGTTCAATCTTATCTGGACGCTAGTCTTTGGCTGGTGGCTGGCGATCGTGGCGAGTGCCGGAGGTCTACTGTGTGCTCTGCTTGGCTTCAACGAAAGCTGCAAAGAGTACTCGCGTCTGCTTTTCCACCTTGCCTCATATCTATTCTACCCCTTTGGCAAATATGTCAAGCTCATGCAGGACGAGGCCTACATCGACGAAGACGAAGGTGAGGGTCGCAGCATTAGCGAATATGAGCAGTGGCAGAGCGGTGATATTGAAGAAGGACGTCTTTTCTTTGGCCCCATCAACGGTGGTGAGAGCTCGCTCGTTGGGCGCAGACGCAACAGTGTCGACTCTGCCGGCAGCGAGACTATGAGTCTACTTGGAAGACACGGTCGTGGTAACGTGAACCATACTGACACAGCCACCACTAAGCGGAGACTTTTCGGTCGCGGCAAATGGACCCTTGGTCGAGTCATCTTTTTCCTCTTCTTCTATGGTATCCTGATGCCTTCGCTCTTTTTCGTCTCGACTCTCTGCTGGTTTCTTGTCTTTACGATCCCCATGGGTAAAACCACGCTGCTCTTGTTGGACCACTTGCGCCGTCACCCCCTGGCTCTCTCATTCCACTCGGACAATGGCAACGTGCGCCGTCCTGGAGAGTCATCTTCCATCCTGCTCTGCACCTATCGAGCAGTCGGCATCAAGTACTGGAAGTACACGATTGATGGCACAAACATTTTTCTCATCAATCTCCTCGGCTTGGTCGCTTTTACCATCTTCGACTACTTTGTCTTGGCTGAAGCCATGGAGCTCAAGTTCTGGTTGACGGACCAGTTTCTGCTCTTCACGCTTGCATTACTGTCCATTATTCCACTGGCATACTTCATTGGCCAAGCAGTGGCCTCTATCTCAGCTCAATCATCTATGGGGGTTGGTGCCACCATCAACGCCTTTTTCTCGACCGTTGTCGAGGTTTTCCTCTACTGCGTGGCGCTGAATCAGGGAAAGGCACAACTTGTCGAGGGAAGCATCATTGGCAGTATCTTCGCCGGTATTCTGTTCCTTCCAGGCTTATCCATGTGTTTCGGAGCACTGAAACGCAAGACCCAGCGGTTCAACGTGCGGTCGGCTGGTGTGACATCAACCATGCTTTTGTTTGCCGTCATTGGCGCTTTTGGGCCCACATTGTTCTATCAGATCTACGGCAGCGTAAGGATTGCATTCTTATTTTTTTTACAAAGGCCCCTACTAACTGATATCAGCATGAACTCAACTGTCACCAGTGTATTAAGCCTCACTCCTCTACTCCCTTGGAGCGAGACTGCCGCAGATGCTACTACTCGCAAACCCCAGCACTTCACGACCGGTTCTACAATGAAGCTGTCAAGCCATATACCTGGTTTTCAGCTGCATTGCTATTTTTCTCGTACATCATCGGTCTATTGTTTACTCTCCGGACTCATGCCGCCACCATCTGGACGGAGCCAGATGCTCAAGAGAAGAAGTTTTTGGAGATGAGTGCGAGTAGTCTCAGTCAGAGTGGCCATGGAGACTTCCCCCATTCCTCTTTCATGAGGCAAGCGACCGGACATTCCATCAATCGCGCACATGTGCGCGACAGTCAGTTGTACAAGCGCATGGTTAGTCAAACTCTACAAGAGGTTGGCATCGGACCAGAGCAATCTACATCGAGCGACAGGCGACCAAGCTCAAAATCAGACAGCAATACCCCCCACCTGGTACCACCCAAGGATGGCCAAACGAATGTGCACCACTCTTTCCATGTCGAAGGCCTTACGGATGATGCCGCGGAATCGCTAGCACGCCAGATCACTGAGATTGCTGCAACAACGACGGCTCTTGCCACACGTGATGTCACCAAGGCCCCTCGTAAAGTTGCGCAACTTGCTCACACAACCAGCAAAGGGCACACAGAGCGACCTGCTCATACTCGGGCCAACACCGAGGCAGCTCACGAAGAGGGCGAGACTGCGCCTGGGCATACTTCTGGAGGGCATGATGCACCAAACTGGAGTCGTCAAAAGAGTGCTGCTATTTTGTTGACAGCGACTGTTGCGTATGCCATCATCGCCGAGATTCTTGTCAACACCGTCGACGGGGTGCTGGAAGGGTCTGATATTGACGAAAAATTCCTGGGCATCACCTTGTTTGCGTTAGTACCAAACACGACCGAGTTTTTGAACGCCATTTCGTTTGCGATGAACGGAAATATTGCGCTGTCCATGGAAATTGGATCTGCATATGCTCTGCAAGTTTGTCTATTGCAGATCCCGGCCCTGGTTTTCTACAGCGCCATGCACAGCGGATACATTCCAGCAAACGAAGTGGCAAACCAGTCATTCACACTCATCTTTCCCCAATGGGACATGATTACCGTCATTCTGTGCGTGTTCCTTTTGTCGTACATGTACGGTGAGGGAAAGAGCAACTACTTCAAGGGGTCGATCTTGATTTTGTCGTACCTGGTGGTGATTGCTGGCTTCTATCTTTCTGGCTTCAATGATTTTGAGAGGATGGGAGTTGATCCGAAGGATACACTAGCGCTTGGCGGACTGGTGGAGCAACAGTTGCAGTCCATGACGTTCAAGACGCCTGGGCGTGGCTCGAGTGGAATTGCCTACTAGGCGAGCATGGTGTTGTGGAATGGGGACTTGTTTTTTTAACTGTATCAACAATGTGTCGTGGGGATGGATGAGTGGGCATACATGGTAGCAGAACGCGGGCGTTTATGGCAATGGAGTTTGAATGGAGTTGAATGGTAGATACAAAATATGTAATGCAACGGTAGTATCCAAGCTGGTTAGAGCATGAAACGAGGATATATAGGGACGTAGGCACAGGTGAAACTGTTGACGGTTAGCTAGCAGAGTATTCTTTACGGCAAGATGCATTACCGAGACGGGAATGCATGTGTGCATGGCGATGCGGGAATAAAGCGATTGATGCAAGTGGGCTCAGTGACGTGCAGTCGAGTCGGTCCGAAGCACTGGGCGGTAGAGCAACTCAGCCATAGGGCTTACGACTGCATCGGAGCCACTGGAAGGCCATAGTAGGGCTGTAATCGTCATATAGGTCCGTGAACGCGTCAGACGAGTGGTTGAGAGAAGCGCGGAACAAAAGTTGCTGCCGCCGTAGCCAAACAGCGTCAACTAGACCGAGTTTCAGAGTCGGAGCGTAAGGCGGACGCAGACAAGCAGGAGTGGGTCCGTAGCGTCAGCGGGTCTGGGGGAGAGGAGAGCGGGGGTTTGGTCATCGTCTGCCGCGCCTCCCCGCCAGATCCTGTGTCGTCTCGTCTGGCTTCAGCCATATCTACGCACCTCCACTCTTACATTGACACACATCAAACCATTTGTGCTTGCCGCCGCCTCCTGTCGCACCAAGCATGTCAGCTGTCGGGCGCGAGCACCGTCTTATCGTCTAGCTTGTCGCTCTGTAGTGCGGCAACTCTTTTTTTCGGAGCGCGTCAATTCAAGCCACCATACCCATACATTTATACATTTACACCGACATCTACATACATTTACGTACATATTCACACATGGGTCCATCGGCGCTCGTGTGCTATTAATTCACAACAGGCATGCGCTCCAACATGTTGCCTGCGCGCCTGCACCCGCTGTCGTGGCAGTTGACCTGCCTCTTGTTCGCTACCTCCGCCACGGCCACCATCTCGCCCTCCAACACCTCGACTGCGCGTCCGGGCTGGGGAGGTGGGACTCTGCCACTCGCCCGTGCCGAATCAAACGGTCGCAAAATTGCAAACGTTATTCCCTTGACCCAGGAAGCAGTGAATTCGGTTCGTCGCGGCTAGGTACCAGATTTCATCCAAGTACTTGCACTGACATGGACTACCAGGTCAAGGGCAACCTATATTACGCAAATTTCTCCAACGTCGCCAACATCACTGCTGACGAGATCGCATACATCAGTTGCAACCCCAGTGACTACAACGGTTTCGACAATGCTCAATCCGTCTTCGACCAAGCTTATCAACAAGCCAACATTTCGGCTGCTATCCTTTACAGTACCGCCACCGACTATTGCGATTATGACCAGAACGACTCCCAACAAATGGTGCAGCAAGTTGCTGTCTATTCCATGACGAGCAAAACTGACTCGACTTTTGTACTCGACGCTATTGACGATCTGCCCGCACACATGAAATACTTCGTCCACGTTGAAGGCCGGTCCAATGATAACAACGGCGATGGAGGCGGCAACTCAAACCAGACACAGAATCCATTAGGTCCCTCACCCTCGACTGCTGTCGCTATGATCATTCTATACAGCATCACGGGTATTATCACGGCTCTGTTCCTTATCATCATCATCACGGGCGCGATAAGAGCGCATCGTCACCCTGAGCGATATGGACCCCGGAACGTCCTTGGGCGACCCAGACAGAGCAGAGCAAGGGGACTCGGAAGAGCTATTCTCGACACTATTCCCATTGTAAAATTTGGTGAAAGGGAGCAGGCGAAGCCTACTGATGTGGAACTGGGACCGGCGGTTGAGGCGAGAGATTTGAACGGAGCGAATGCGACGAGCGACGGACACGTAAACCCTCCAACAACCGCTGATCAGCGCAGCCAAGCGCAGCCACTGGGTACGGAACAGGTGATAGGGGCGTCGCAGCAAGTGACCTCCGCGGAGATTGAGCAACATCAGTCAGGTATAGCACCTGCACAGCCTGTTGTCGCGGCCGTATCCACGGGTACAGAGAATGCTTCGTCTGACGAAAGTCTGGGTTGTTCCATTTGTACAGAGGATTTTGAGAAGGGTCAAGATCTTCGCGTTCTCCCATGCAATCACAAGTTTCACCCAGAATGTGTTGATCCCTGGCTACTGAATGTGTCTGGGACTTGTCCATTATGGTAACTCACCCCCCTATTTTATTATTCGCTGTATCAAGCCCACTAACACTTCGCAGTCGCGTCGATCTCCGACCCGTCGATTCCCATGATTCTTCTGCCTCCCATGGCCAGGACCAACTTGCTCCACCTCTAAACCCCGATGCTGAGACATCGCATCGCCGCCGTACCGCAATTCGTGATATTTTGTTGTTCCGCCATTTGCCAAATTCATCAGCTGAAGAGCGAATTGGCGCCCTAAGGCGCCTTAGAGAGCAGCGAAGAAACCAAAGTGGTGATCTCGCTGGAGAAAGTACAAGTCCAAGTGTGGAAAACGTAGCCAACACAAGAGACAGGAGAAGTAGGAGAATTAGCGCACGACTAAGTGACGCTTTCGGGGCTCGAGGCCGAAGAGAACGAGGGGATGCAAGCCCCGCGCAGAGGAATTCAGCTGTAGTGCCACCGACGGACAATACATCAACGCCGGGTAACAACGAGGCGCACAATACTTCTAACACGTAGCGTTTGAATATCATTTTTTTTTCGGCTGATTCGGAATCTATTTTCGTTTTCTTTGTTCGCTTACACAAAGAATGAGCAAATTGACGCTTGGGAAAGCAAGGGACTGCGTATACCAAAGGACTGTTGTATCCTAGATAAGCTTTCAGCCTATCAGGTAGATTACTGTAATATCTTAATGTTAAATTAAGAGTTGGAAGTAGCTACTTCTCCACCTAGTGGATATGAGCTAACTTCGTTGTGGTGACATTTCATGCTAACTTGAAAATGCTCTAACTAAAGTTGACATCATCACTAAACTCAACCTTGTACGAACTCTCAATATCTGTCCCGATAGCAAGATAGATGGCATACTTGGAATATTATCCTGCCAAGCCGCTGGTCGTATATTGAGAGGCTACAATTAAGGTCCTGACTGGGTAGGCGCACATGAACCGCATGCTTGGGTCTATAGGAGTGATTCCAAGTAGAGTATACAGCCTCAGTGCAGGCACATGTGTTGTTGCGTATCTGAGAATTTGAGAACTGTCAGGAACATGCGTATATAAGTGGGATGCCTACTGTAAATAAATCCCCGCCCACAAATCCCTAACAGTGCAAGTTCAAATAAACACCCGCCGCTTTAATTCCCTTCCAGTACATCTGCAATCTATATTATGGCATTCAATGAAACAAAGCCAGTGCTTTCATCGGCCCGGTCCCAAAAGATCACATACCTCGTGACACCCCTGCTAGCGAGTCTTTCTACATGCTGCGACCATGAATTTAGTAAGATTGTGGATGCGTGGCTCAATTCAGGGTTAGACCTTGACATTGTATCTCTCTATCTTACTTCAGTAGACGGGCCTATCCTACCTTGACCCAATTTTTCAGCCTAATGAACAATACCGCGCTATCCCTACTATTAGACCAGAGCACAGACGACTGTCATTCTCTCATAGTAACAACAATTATCTACAAGATGCTGGATAAAACTCATAACACTTTAGCTGCACCTAGTATTTTCCTCTCCTTCTTGCCATTTTATTTTCAAAAACAGAATTTTCTCCTCGAGGTTTTTTCTCGTCATAGAAAAATTGTAGTAAACATCAAGAGTTCAAACTTAGGCAGACAAGTACCCTGCCAACTCAAGGAGCTTCTCGCAACTCCGCCTCAATAACGCTCTCCGCAACACCCGGAAAATTGTAGAATCCCACCAATCTCAATCCAGCCTTCTGCAGTATCCCATCCCACTCCATCCTAGTCCTCTCCCGCACAGCAAAGTGTGCCAACATCATCATATCCATTGCCGTTTCCGCGATCGTAGGCTCCTCCTCGGAAACCACAATCTCAATCAGCAGAACCCGGGAATACCTTACTTGAGCGCTGGCCTCAGATTTTTTAGGATGCTGATTTCTTCTTCATCGATCCAGTCATGAAGGATGGAATGCAGCGCGTAAGCCCTTGCAGCCTTGATTGGCTGAGGAGTAAAGAATTCGTGTACTTCCAACTCAAACAGCAGCTTATCTTGATTTGAAACACTGGCAATAACGGGCTCTCGGTCCTGTAGAATAATTTTTCCAGGATGTGCCTTGTGTTCTGATATGAACTGCTGGACATCGTGGCCGCGGCCACCCCACACATCTACAAGCAGCGTTTCACCGGTGTCAGTGTCGAAGCCCTCGATTAGACGGTCGTCTACGGGGTAGAAGCCTGCGTCATACCAATTTGGCTTCCCGGCCCGGTACGCTGACATGAAGTTGTCGAACTCATCGAGATACGGGGGCGTGGCTACCAACCACGGGAAAAACGGCATCGCTATACCGTGTACAGCCTGGAACGGACCGTTTGTGAGCGAACTTGGGATTCGGTAGCCTGTTGCTTGGAAGAAGCTGGGGAAGCGGTTGAAGGAGGGCCGGGCAACGTCGTAGCAGAAATCAATACTTTTCTGGAAGTTCTCTGCTGCGAGGCCGTCGCTGGGGGGTGTCCCTTTGAACTTTCCGTTCGAGTATGTGAGAAGCTTCATGGCGACTAGGTGGCGGAGGATTCTCTGGAGCAGTGGTGTGTCGACTCCTGTCTTTTGGGTAAGATCATAAAGGCTACTGCCGGGTTTACCTACATCTTTCAGATGTTGGAATAGTCCGACCTGAACGGCCAACTTGCAATGTGCTGATAGAGCAGGCTGCAGTAATGATCAGTAAAGCCACTGTAATTTCGCATAGTAGTATTGCTAGTTTACCTCGGCCCAGAACGTTCTTTGCAAGAACTCACTTGGGATTTCAAGTGTTGCTACCAGATCTCTGCCTAGTCCGATAAGACTTTCTAGTGAACCAATGTCCTCACGTTGGTAAGCCTTTCCAGCTGCTGCAATGCTTTCGAGGATGTCCAGAAGTGTTTTTGACATTTTCTTTTTTCTCTCGATGTTCGGCACAGCCTTCTTCTTGCTTCTAAGAAGGGCAGATTTAGAACTTCAAGCTGATCTTAACTGCATTCTCGTATCCCCATAAGTGGACCGGCTTGAAATCCCAAGACCCATAAGCTCCACACGTTCGCGTGCATGCATGTAGCTCAATTGTGGATTATAGCCGATGGGGTTAATCCTTTAGGATTTGCGACTAGTGTTTGATCATCACATGCGACTCACAGACGTACATGTGTAAATGGCAATTATCACAGCTTTGCATGTCTGGTCTGACTAGGAGACTGCTTTGGCTCGTACTCATGTCTTGAACAGGTGCAAAGTCTAAGGAATGTGGGTTAGTTCTAAGGATTTTGCTTGGACTAAACCTGTCTACATCGATCGATAAAGTTGTAACAACCTCCATAGTCTTTTTTGAGAAACTTTTTACAGTGACTACGAAATTTACTTGCAGCTTTGGGGATAGTCTGTAGTTTACGTTTCAAAAACACTATATCTGAGGTAAACTTATACGGTACAGCAATGTTGAAGTTTTTGCTCTACATACATTCTCAAAGGGCGGCCATCGCGAAACTTTAGCATTGAACAAAGAATAGAATCTACTATCCCTGTAAGAATGCGTCACCGCCATTGTTGTTGAATCATCTATATATCCTGTCAGTGGAGTTTCACTCATGCATAGTCACTCGAGTCATACCGGCCTTCCCAAACCGGGATTTCGTATCGCATTTTGATCTTCTAGATTCTCATGCGTGAATATATGTGCATGTTTGAAGTGACTAGTAATGTTTTGATATTCAGCTTCTATCAATATGAGTGGCTCACATGTTGCCCGAGGGGGTTGGTCTGCAAAAGTTAGTGAGTCTTGGGAAAAGTTCGCCAACATACTGTGCTGTGCTACAATGATGTGGACCTTAAAAGGATTTCCCTCGTTATCTCGGCAATGCGGTCAGTGGATCCAGTACAATCTTATTTGTTCATCCAGGGCAATCCCTTTCTTGAAGGAATAGCATTGTGCGTGACCCGATTGTGTTGATTGCGCTACTGTTTGACATCTTACTCGATTTCAATGATGCTAACTACGTCGCTTAGAACTTCCTGAAAAAGACGCAAGTCATGATGAAAGATTTCCACGTCACATTAACTGTTGTGATACCTACGCCATCTTGGCATCTTCAACCCATGCCACTCGATAAGTAGTATCGGGCTACAACCGGCTGTTCGCTCACATAATGATATTAAATGGTGGTCAGAACAAGAAACTTTAGGAAAAAAAAACTCGGTGTCTATTCAGTTTTGGATATTTACAAGCTGACAAAACACTACGAGATATTTGCAGAAATGACGGACTCAGTGGATCTGACAGAGAACAGGCAGACAGAGATTTTACTCGTCGCATAGGTCATGACAGCGGCCGCCGGTTTATCGGTCGCTATCAAGCTTTTTCCAGAGTAAAGCTAGTGCATGTTGTTGGCTAGGACGACCTCTTCATTTTGCTGTCGCTGGTAGGGCATTCGCGAATTCTATTTTCATCGAACCGACAACTAGAACTTATATTGTTTTTCGATATTCAGCATCGTTGCCTCATCATTTGTACACTACGGGGTTGTATTGGGATTCGGTCAGCATACAGCAGTGGTTGTCGCACAGTTCGGCAATAAGCGGCTTTTCAAAAGCGCAATGATTCAGATTTTAGGATATCGTACGTTCTTTATGAATAACCCTCAGAGATTAGCACGATCCAAGTTGGCACTCTGTAGCTTTTGATATTGGTAAGTGTTCTGTGACTTCGTACTTGTAGCTTTGGCCAAGGGGTGACAATCTACAGCCGTATTCAGCTTACCGAACATATCCATCACGATTCTCGTTTGCCAGATTCTTTCCTCAAGTCCACGAAAAACTATAGCTCTATACTCTATGTCGATTCTGCAAGTATCGTTTGCCATAATTACAGTTGTCCTAGCATTTACACAATGCCAACCGACCCAGAAACTATGGGAGAAGTCATTGCCAGGCTCGTGCTGGAACCCAAATATTCTCAACAGGTTTTCGTACTAGTTCTGTGCGTACACAGCGTTCACGGATGTGGTATTGGCGGTGGTGCCGGCATGCACATTCTGGAATCTGCAGATGGCTTGGTCCACGAAGATTGGCCTCATCGCGAGGATGAGTATGGCCATGCTGTCTGCGATAGTCACCATCGTTAAGGGGACGTATTTGCCGTTGTTTATGGGCACAACTGATCCTCGTGAGTATGTACAAAGATAGTGTGAGATCATAACTGATGGTGCCCAGTTTGGAAGCCTGTACCGCTGGTGATATGGGACTTGTAAGTTACTTTCTCTCTTCTTTTATTCTTCTTACTAGATTGACTTCTATATAGAGTAGAACAAAACATCGTCGTTATGGCCGCTTGTATTCCCACGATGCGACCTTTCTTTAGCCGCACATGGAGGTGTGGTTTTTCGACAAAGACAGGGGCTCGATCCACGTCTCTAGCTCAAGATCTATCTAACGTGGTTCACAAGCGAATCGGTTGCCCAAGCGAATCGGTCGCGCCCTACTAGCGCGTCAACGTCAAGGAG